TCCTGCTGGCACGGTGGGCCCGGAGGCTTGTGGGTAACGAGCGGGACCCCAGACCCCGAGGGGCCCCGGGGGCTCAGTGCCCGTCGCGTTGCCCGGGCCTTCTGCTTGCTGCCAGGTCTTTCTTTTCAGGGATGGGAGGGCCTGTGCACTAGACAGAGTGTACGCAAGAAGGAGAGGAAGAAGAGAGTCAAAACCCTCTGTAACCCTAACACCCCCGCCCCCCATCCTAGGAAATGTCCACTGAACAATGGAAGGTCTGAGAGGTGTGCCGCAGTGAACTGTTCTTGCTGGAGTGTGCAGAGTTGGTGATATTTCCTGGGGCTTTTGATAATGACTAGAACATTGCAGCACGGAGAATAAAGGAACCACAGGCAGCAATCAGATGAGGAAACCAAAACTCTGTTCCGAGATTAATAAAGCCGTATCGCTGCCAGATGCTATCCTCTCCATAGCCGTTACAGTGCTGGATCTGTTTGATACACTTACAAGAAATTCCTGATATCTTTACCACTTACATAAGGAAGTAAGACATTCCCACAGATCAACTATTTTAATGACTACTAATTATGTATTGGTTTTTAAAAACATAACCCTGTTAATAATACTAAGGGTGATATTCAAATTAAGCACTCCCATTGCTATTAATCACTATTTCTAAAACTATGCTTGTGTAGTATATATGCTTAGTGTAGCAACAAACACTAAGGGAAATCAATAAAATCACATTTTTGTTTGTTTTTAAATGCCTAGATGTCTTTTTGGAGCTCAGACCTCCGAAGGGGGCCACCTGAGCTTATTTTAGTTTGATTGTATCTCTTGGGAAGAAAGGTTAAATTGGTTTTTTATTCCTATGATCCTTTCCACTTCCACCCTTCTTTTCCACCTTCCCATATTTAACCTGTTTTGTTGATAAACTGTTGCCTTGACCAGACACCTGGATTTTCCCCTTGAGAAGAATTTGGTTGTCCCTAGGGATTTTATTTTTATTTTCTTCTAAAACTTTGCCGACAAAAGTTTAAAGTTATGTGAGGTAGATGTATAGTCTGTTTCTGCAAAACACTAGAAAATACATTATATTTCTAATAATATTTTATCTAAACCTGGGTTGCGCCCACTTCCCCAGTGGGGGATATGCAGGAGGCAGCTGATCGATGTTTCTCTCTCATCGATGTTTCTGACTCTCTCTCTCTCTCCTTTCCTCTCTGTAAAAAATCAATAAAATATATTAAAAAAAATAAAATAAAATAAAGCCACATTTAGGGACATGCCCATTAAAAATTGTATTTTTAACATCTAACATCTGAAGGCCAGAACATGCTTTCTCTTCTCCAAAGAAAATGAGCAAACAGGTCATGAAGACAGCAATCTAACAATCAGGGCCAGAGTTAGGGAGAAAAACATTTTGTTTCCTGTTTGAAGATTATAACTAAAAACTCCTTATGTTATAAATCACTTACCCTGGAAGTAAAAAAGTCACCAGTCCTAATAACAGGAGAAGGCAGACATTGCTTTGAACAAATGAATTTCAATAAGAAAGATTCTTACCCCTTCCCTTTGCAGAATAGGATTGCCAACATATGGCCATGGGAGAAAATCTAGCTCATCTTTCAAATAGTGATTCGTGCATCTGGTTTATGAATACTTAATGATTTTCACTGTGCCTGGTTGTAAGTGAATGCAATGCATGAATAAGAATATTTCCCGATATAAAATGTCTCCCGGGAACTGCTAAGAGGAATATTTTTGTATCCTTTATGATCTTTTCCAGAAAAGTATGGGTACATGGTTGTGCAGTGATTAATTTATAAAATTAATGTGACAATTGCACCCTAACCTTTTAGAGCTCATAATTTACTATCTAAAATTTTCAGGCAAAGAAAGCAAAGGTAAAAAAAAGACCAAAGCTTTGTAGAATCTGTTAATTCTAGTAAACATAGAACATGAAGTGAAACCATTATGTGGAAAGTTGGGCATCAGACATGCACTAAGTGCCCTCTAGTGGCCAAACTGGAAAAGTTTTGCCTAGTTAACAGTTAATTCATTTAGTTACTAGCTGAAAAATGCTTTGTGAATTAAAAGCAGTCTGCATTTAAAAACAAAACAGGCCAAAAAAAAACCCTGAAATGTAATATCCGTCATCTTTCATTCTTTCAAGTGTGCAGCCCAGATGGCACATGTCCGCCAACATGTTAAGAGAAGTGTTCTCCGTGAGAAAGGTATTCCTTGCTGTCTGGTGTTAGTCAAAGGAGAGCCACTAAAATTTTTTTTCTTCCTAGAGCCAGGTAAAATGGGTGGGTAGAGAGAACCAGGGAGCGAGGACACTGCTAGATCTTTCACTTTCCCAAGATGGCTCAGTTGCTCATCCTAGATACTGACGTCCTCCCCCCTCCAAACCTGCACAGCTACTATAATATATATTTTAAATGTTATGAGAATTTTTACAGAAAATACTGATCAGAAGCAATGCCGGTTAAGAGAACATTTCTAATGCATATTGAGAGTACACAGCATTCCAGTCTTGGTCCAGAGGGATGTTTTCTTTACCATTCCCGCCCTTTCTGCCACTCCCTCTTTCCACTGCTTCCTCCCCCGCAATTGCGCAGTTGGAGGGGGTGAGGGAAAGGAAGGAAAAACATGAAAGTGATGTAATTCATGATTCCAAGATGGTTACCATGGCGACTATCAGGCATATTGCGCTCTCCGGAAGGCAAGCGCTCCTTTCACCCAGCTTTCAGCAAAGGGTTTCGGGGAGGGCTGGTCCACGGCCTAGAGACTGTGGACAGGTAGGAAAACGTCGGTCTTGCCTTCCTCCCACCCCTGGACACGGAGTCTCCTTAAACTAAACCCAGCAGGGAAGTAAGTCATGTAGCCGGTGGGAACTAGGCTTCGCAGCCTCCAGGGATGCCGCGGCGAAGGACACCCTTGCTCCGCGGACTCCGAGAGCCCATTGGTGAGCGATGTCGTCACTCAGAGTGACGTCACCGCGAGGAACGAGGAGGAGCCATAGAGACGGCCCCGGGCCCTTCTAGCGTGGGGAGCGGGGGAGGGGGGCCTCGGGAAGGCACTGGAGGACTGAGGCGGCCGTTCGCGGGAGCCGGCCGAGGAGGTAGGGGTGGGCCGGCCCAGTCCTCGGGCAGTGACTCGGGGGACCGCGCCCGCCTGTGTCCGACAGAGTCCGCTCCCTCGGCATCTGGTTTCCCCCCTCCGCGCCCAGTTCCCCCGACCGCTCTCCTCGGCACTAGACCTCGTCCCCCTGCCCGCCCAACAGCCTTGGAGCTCAGCCTCCGTCCCCCTCTTTCGTGCTTCGCTTCCTCCTTTCTCTTCTGTACCCCGCATCCTGCTTTCTCGTCTGCCTCCCATAAACCCGGATCGCCCGCAAGGTTGGTGCCTGCACCACTCCCGCACCAAAATACAGAGAAACACTGCATCCAGACGCCGCCGCAGTACACGCAGCCGTCCACCCCACGCGCGCGAAAGCTGCCTGCCGGAATGGAGAGCGGGTTGGCCGCCGGATGGGGTCTGGTCTCCCTCCAGCAGGAGGACGCCCGTCCTTAGTCTGGGTTCGGATGTTCCCAAGTATTATTTGAGCCCTTGATCAAAATGTCTGTTCTCTGGTTGAGGTTTCCATCCGCGAAAGACCCTGGTACTTTCCCCCCAGCTGCAGGGAAGCGGAGGTGATGCTGAGAGAGGTACGGGGGCTCCTGCTGCCCTGGGCTGAGAAGCGCCACAGGAAGGAGGAAGGTTTCTGTAAAGCGCATGTCAAGGCAGAAAGCTCTGCGGAGAATCACTAGCGCAGGAAACCGGTTTCCCTCCACTTGAACTGTTAGCGGGTACCATGTACATCTGCCCTGCTACTTAAATGAATACTTTCACTCTTAAAAAAAAAGAATTCGTTTTATTTATTTTAATATATATTTTTATTGATTTCAGAAAGGAAGGGAGAGGGAGAGAAACATCAGTGATGAGAGAGCATCATTGATTGGCTGCCTCCTGCACGCCCCCGACTGGGGATTGAGCCTGCACCCGGGCATATGCTCTGACCGGGAATCTCCTGGTTCATAGGTCTGCTCAACCACTGAGCCATGCCCTCCGGGCAGTAATTCGTTTTATAATATTTAAAAATATGTTTTTACTGTGTGTGAGAGAGAGAGAGAGAGAGAGAGAGAGAGAGAGAGACAGACATTGATATGAAGTTGCCTCCCCCATGCCAACTGGGACCAGGCAGGCCCCTGACCGGGAATCCACCGTGCATGGGAGGATGGCTCAACCAGCTGACCCACCCTGGCCAGGGCAGTACTTTCAATCTTTTAAAGTTTGGGGCAGCTTGGCCAAGTATGGAAAAAAAGCTAATTGAAAACAAATCCAGGATATTTATTTTCTACCTGTATTTTTAGGCTACAAATAAGTGTACCTTCCTCAGCTTCTTAAGTACTTGGCAACCATATAAGTAGATTACTGGGTACTATTGACCAGAAATCAAAATGTCTTTGAAAACTTTCACTGTCGTGTGCATCATCGTATTAAAAGTCATTTCTCTTTGTTGGGGTCTCAAAGTACCATTCTCAAATCCAGGACTAAGAAAACATTATTCATGTTTGTTGGAAGGGAACTTGAAAGAGATGTTACACCCTGAATAGAATATGCAAATATTTTACCCTCGCAGTAGTTAAAAACACTTAAATCCTGATACCTTTATAATTGATGTGTTTTTTCAAATACTGAATTGTTTACTTAATCCTCCTGCCTAGGTCCCTATGTTGACTAGTTGAGACAAATATAAATATGGCTGTCTACTGTTATAATACAGTCCTAGTTATTGCCCGAACAAGGTAAGCCTTGGAATTCCCTCCTGCCCCCAATATTAATGTGAACGTTATTCTTCTAGATGGAAAAGTATATGTAAAAAGATAGGCTTAGTACACAGATAAAGCTTTGCTGTTTTGAACTGTCTCGGTGTTTAGGAAGCTGACATTTTAATTTATTTAAACTTATCCCAAATTGTCAATATGCTTTAGAACTCAGCTGAATCATTTTGTGGATGTGTAGTACAGGTAGGATAGAAGATGTAATGGTTTTAGAATGTCATGGATGAATATTACATGAGGCCCTTACATATAAAAAGGAGTCAAGTGGCTGGCAAACAAGCCAGTCCTAGGGCCTATCCATGCCCCAGCAAGATCTGTTATCACTTATTTATTACAAAGAATATTCACCAAGAACGTACATTGTGCTGGATACATTGGACAGATTCCCTTTTAGCTATTCAAAAAGTGTTAAATCTTGGCATGCTTCAAAAACAAAGAATGGAAAAAGCCATCTCTTTGCCAAAAGAAGTCTCTTTGCCAGGAACTTTCTTTGCCTAGATAATCTTATTTTAATTTTCAAACAACCTGATGTGCTAGTCTAACTGAAGACTGTGAGCTATTGCCAAAGTAGACTGTAGAGATCCCTGGCTGGGGTGCCCAATTCAAATTCTTATTCCCAAGGTTCTTCAGGAATCTTAGGTGAAGGCTGTTTTGGTTGTCAGTGCCTCTCACTTGAGGGAATCTATGGGAAGGCAGTACGTAAACAAGGCAATTTTATGTGATTGGTTAACCCCCAAAAGGACCTTGAACTGCTTTGTTCAAATAGCATTCCTATTGTCAGTAGAGTAGGTGACGGCACAAGTCTTCCACCTGCTTTCTGGTAGTAGATAAAGAACTTTCAAACATAACCCCTAGTGGGAAAATATTTGCTATTAGATTTTTAAATGAATAGTTGCAGAGTTTCTACTTCTAATATAGCAATTATTCTTGGAATGAACTTACTAATATTTCTCATAGAGTATATTATTCAACCATAAAGGTTACTGTTCTTCAACTGGGATAAAAAGTTATATTTCATTCACTACCGAACATCATCTGCTTTAAAATACAGGCTTTAAAACTATTTATTTTAACCTGATACAGTATCTATTTCTTTGACTTTTAAGTTTGTAATCATTTGTGCTCAACTCAGAGGATGTTGCTCTTTATTCCAGATTCCCTAGCCATTTTGTACATCCTACCTGCTCTTCTTGTTTCCCATCACTTGCATTTCTTCACTTGCCAGATTCCCATTTAAATAAAACATATACGAAGAACTATGGAAGCAGGAAGTACTCCTATCCTAGTCAGTCAGGCAATAAAGGACATCACTTACGAACTAGGATAATACAAAAGCTACACACATCAACTTGCTGGCTACAAAAGGTACCTGGTGAACCTCAGCTGGAGCCACCCACCCCAGAACCCCAGGTGACAAGCTCTCAGCCCACAGAAGAAACTGGTTTGGAGACTAAGGAAGAAAAGCGATCTTATAGACAAAGAATTATGGATGAACTTAAATATTATTACAATGGATTCTATTTTCTTTGGATTGACACCAAAGTTGCGGTCAAAATGATTTGGAGGCTGTTGCATGGACAGATGCTGACCAGACGAGATAGACGAAGGGTAGGCAAGAATCGTATTTTTTAAAAAAAGAAAGTGTAAAGTTAAAATGAACTATTTAGGAACCAAGTTTTAAACTCAACTTAGAATTCATTTAAAAAATCCCCAAGTAGGAATACTAACATAGTAAGATTGGGAATTTCTTTCTGAGTTTCTTGTCTGCTACTGACTTATTGTACAACTTTAGGCAAAATTTTAAAATTTGTATATATTTGCCTATAGAGAATGGTTATAATTATGTTCCTAATCTCTTCAAGGAGAAGAGAGGCTGCAGGTTTGATCTGTGCATCTGAAATACAAACTGTTGTTAATATATTAAGAATATGCATTAGAAAACAAATTTTAACAGATACTGGGTTATTCAAGTCCAGATCCCTAAGTTAGATGAAAGCTACAAGATACCAATAATATATTTTGATTGTTACAGATTTCCTTGAGGATATCCCATAAATGTTACTTCAGAGCTATGATAAAGAGGAAAATCCCACCTTTCCATTTTCTAAACAGCTGCAGTCTTTCAGAGCCAAAGCAGCCTTTTTAGTTTTAGGGGTTTCTGTTTTGTTTTGCTTTTTGGCACATTCTACAATAATGAATATTGCATATGCATTTAATTCTTTAGCTATTGAGGACTTGTGTTGATTTCTTCCGCTTGGTTCCATTTATGGTGTTCATAATTGTACCCTTCATGGAATTCTTATTACCAGTGTTTCTGAAGTTCTTCCCAGAGATGTTGCCATCAACTTTTGAAAGTAAATCCAAAAAGGTATGTAGGAATTTTTAACTTTTAAAAAATCAGTAGGCTTGCTTCAGTGTTTAGAGAAGTTTTTAGGTTTACAGAAAAATTGAACAGAAAGTACAGAGAATCCCCAGGTACCTCTTCCTCCATTTCCACTATTATTAACATCTTGCATTAATGTGGTACATTTGTTCCAACTGGAAGAACCAATATCTATACATTATAATTAATTAAAGCTTATACTCTACATTAGGGTTCACTCTTTATGTTGTATAGTTTTATTGGTTTTGACAAATGCATAATGTCATGTATCCACCCTCACAGTGTCCTACTGCCCTAAAAATCCCCTGTGGTTCACATGTTTGTCCCTCTTCCCTCTATCCTTCAACCTGTGGCAACCACTGATCTTTTTACTGTCTCTATAGTTTTGCCTTTTCTAGAATGTCATATAGTTGGAATCATATAGTGTGTAGTTTTTTTCAGACTGGCTCCTTTGCCTTAGCAATATGTTTCCTCCATGTCTTTTCATGCCTCATCTCTTTCTATCACTGCATACTATTTCACTGTATGGATATGCCACAGTTTATTCATTTACCTATTGAAGGACATCTTGGTAGCTTCCAATTTTTGGCAATTATGAATAAAACTGCTAAAAATACCATGTGTAGGTTTTTGTGTGGACATATGCTTTCAACCCATTTGGGTAAATACCTAAGAGAACAGTTGCTGGATTGTATAGTAAAACTGTTTAGTTTTGAAAAAAATCAATAAACTATCTTCCAAAATAGCTGCATCATTTTGTATTCCCACTAGCAATGAATGAGAGCTTCTTTTGCTCTATATCTTTTTTTTATTAGTTAAGATATTACAAATGTGTCCTCATCCTCCCCATTAACCCCCAACCTCCCCCCCACCCGCCCTCACACTCATGCTCCCATCCCCCTGTTGTCCGTGTCCATTGGTTTGGCTTATATACATGTATACAAGTCCTTCAGTTGATCTCTTCCCCTTACCCCTTTTATTATATAGGACTAGAGGCCTGGTGCACAAAAATTT